AGAGAGAGAGAGAGAGAGAGAGAGAGAGAGAGAGAGAGAGAGAGAGAGAGAGAGATTTACATATATTAATATTAATATAAATAAATATACATATTTAACCTTTGGAGGGCTAGAAGCCGATATATCGGCGCAATGGCGGTGTCAGCTTTTTCCCCATTCAATCCAATGATATTGACAAAAAAGTTTAAGCTCTTAAATAAAAAAGTCGATAAAAAAATAGCCGGTCCTTAGAAGGTTAAAAATTATTCAACATGCAAACCGAATAAAAATCGCGCGATACTTAGCATTTAAAATAGTCGACCCATAACAATACTGTTAAAAAGTTAGTGGTTAATACAGTACAAAGAAGTTCGACAAATATGTTCTAAATATGACTTGTGACATATACACACACATACACACAGTTGTGATGGATTATATCGCAAGAGAATATCAAGCAAATTCTCATAATATTAAAAAATCCACAAAGAAGTAATCGTTTTTCATGTTTTAGCGTCTAATACTTTTGGACGGGACTGTTCTGTTAGAGACATGTTTGTAAATATACTCATATATATTGATAAGCGCACACATACAAATGTATGTTACGAGAGAGATAAACGTGATATCGTATCTTTTCATACTTTTAGATATTTTTTGTATTGTTGTACCAACGTTTAGGCTATAAATATTCATGGTTATTTACATAACATGGTCACTATCTTGAAAACACATGGTACTATCTTGAAAAAGATGTCTAACCAATGGACACAAGGAGAAATACAGTGCAAACAACATTGCCACGTACATTACCACGTCTTCACAGATTAGTTGTAATACTTCAGACGTTAAAAGGAATTACGTGTTTTACATATCAATTTCTCGAGAACTGAACGGTCAATAAATGATCTCGTAATTTTATGATATTTCTAAAGAACGATTTTATCATCTTCTAGTTTTTCATTAAAACTGTAAAAACAGTTTGACCGCTATAATTGAAAATGCGATGTTGGAAGTCGTTCTCGTATTTGCGATAAGTATAAAAATAATGCGAACTTTGACTTCAGTTATCCCCGCCAATCCTTTCCTAACTGTGCGCGTGTGCAGATCGTGTTTCCAACTGACACGTTGGCAAAATTGAAAACTGCAAGTTTAAAATTTATTACTGAAAACATGAGTTTACGGGCCAGCTATCTTAAGAGAGATCTGTTTTCCAGATTGTCTAAAATTTGTCGGATTGTCGCGATACACTTACACTAAGCATGTCGTGTACGCCTCAACGCTCATTTAATTTTTGGGTTTCCGACGACCTTCAAAAGTCCAAAACAAACGCGAGATTGCAAAAGCAGTTCAAGTTACGATGTTATGTACGATGCTTGTTATTTGTAAACTATTAAAGCATCTGTTATCACGGCACGCCGTCCGCACGCAAACGTTGTCATGCGTGAAATATCACGTGGCGACTTGAATATCCGTCCGACATTGTCCGCAACCGGTGTGTAATCTTAGGAGAGAGACATGGCTCTCAGATGAGGAAGGTCAGTATTCGCTTACCGGCAAGACAAGTGCCTGAGCGTCGAGTGGAAACAGCGGTCTCTCAGCTGTCGGTCTGGAAGCCCAATAAGCCGCAACCCCGGTGACGACGAGAGCACCGGCCGCGCCGCCCAAATACGGTAGGTAGTCCTCGAATTGAGACTGTAACACTTTGTTTAAGATCGTTTGAACCGTTCGAGAGAGACTGCCAGGCTTACATAACGCTACGCGCCGACGCTGAACGACGTTACCTTCATGACTGTTTGCAGAAACGTGCGCTATTCTCGCAAGTCGACCGACGACTTGGACGGTCGTCTGGCTGAATGACGGTCGATCGGTGTTGCCCGGCGAGACGGAGTTGCTCGTCACATCGGTATGACGATAAGCCGATAACGAGGTACGCACTTTAACGCGACTAAATATCGCGTCGAACTCAAGTGCCAAGTGTTTGGAATATAAACTCGTGACGTGATCGTTGCATCGAGCGACGATTTCGACTTACGGACTCGTTATCGTGCGAATTGCGGTTGTCGGCTACGGAGGACACGATCACGCGATTATTAGACGGAATCGTCGGAACAAGCAGCGAGCGACGTCTGTCTGTTGTACACTTGGCGATAACACGTTGCTAATATAATCTCGAACGAGGAAGAGAGCGGGAGAACGAGAGCGCACGCGGAAGGGAAAGAGACCGCGAATAGCAGGGAACAAAGTGGCAGAAAAGCGAGCCAACGTGTGAGCGTGCGATGTCAGCACGCGGCCAGAGGCCGTACGAGGCGCCTGTCTCTCGCATTCCCGCCTCGCATTCGTGCTCGCCGAGCTCCTCGAGCCCGTCGAGGTGGAGAGAGAGAGAGAGAGAGAGAGAGAAAGAGAGCGGCGTGTAACATACTCACTGGTGCACAGCAGAGACGGTAAGGCGACGAGAACGATAGTAGTACGACAATGTGCGCCCGCTGCGGTCCTGTTCCGGTCGGTCTTGCGTCGAGAGAAACGCCAGCGTGTCCCGAGTGAGGTCTCCCGAGAAGGGTCTGCTTCGAGGGGAATTCACCGACGAATTCGAGGAACGGCGCGCGGAGGATGGCACCAGAATGGTCGACTTGGGCCAGAGATGGGCTCAGGTCAGGGCCACGGCATGACACTGCCTTTCTTCGCCAAAATCGCGCGCCACGCTCTTGGGCTCACGTACGTTGCGGACCCTCAGTGGCGTATACTCGGCGGCGCCATGACGTCACCCCGCCGCCGCGGCGAATCGATGCCGGGCGGCCCAGCGGGTGCTGCGACGACCCTTCGCCAGCGCGGCAGCCACCCCATGGCGGCGATTACTTCCCCCGTGGGGCTCTACGCAGGCGCGCTCGTCGCCGCGCCCTGAGCGCCACTCGTCAAAATGTGGAACATGTTCTTTCTTCTCTCTCTCCCTCCCTCTCTCTCTCTCTCTCTTTCTCTCTCTCTCTCTTTCTCTCTCTTTCTACTCCGGCTATCATAGCGATGTTATCAATATATGAGCTATTTCGAATAAAGTTCTGGAGAAAAGTGACAGTAATTTTGGAAATGTATGATTTTCCTTTCACGACGATCTGATATAGTTCTCATTGTCATTATCATTTCTTTTTCTAATCTTTTCAAACAGCGATAACTCGAAAATTTCCACTCCAAATTGTATTATTCCTTTTCCCAAAGATTATCAGCTACTACGGCTTAGATAATGAATACCATTTTTTCGTTAGATCAGGTTAGGTTGGTCCTAGTTTGTTTGTCCAAGCAATTCTACTGATATTCAGTGTTTTGTTATCTAACTAGCAACGATTATTCATGCTACACGAATTCGTGACGCGTGTGAAGCAATTGTTGATTTACCCAGGTAAACCGTCGTCGTCAAAGCGACGTTCCTACGATAATCGGAGAGATACCGGCGAGTGTCGTTAACGCAGTAGCGAGGCGCTGCAGCTGGCCGGGTAAATGAGTACGCAGAACGCTCGGTCGAGTGGTAGTCTGCGGTTGATAAGAGGATTCCAGGCGGTAAGTTCGAAAGCTTCCATTGGCGGCTATTTGGAGAGCGGTCTCCTTCAAGCGAAGCGCATTCACCTCCGAAGGATCCCCGACGTTTGGCAGTCCGGAGTGGAGCGGCATCGACAACGTTCGATCCACTCCAATCCCGAGAATATGCTTCTGCGTCCGCACTCGAAGAACAGAGGCGAATTGATCGAAGGAAGAAGTTACGCGGCGAAAATCCGCACGCGGTCTGTTGCCTTTTACCTCGCGGATAAATATCCTGGGACAGGTTACATAATCATCATTAAATAACGAAACGTTTAATTTCGAGCAACAATTAAAGTCAAGCTAATTAAAGTCAAGCTAATTGTCGGTCGTGCCAAGTGAACATCGATAAGCTACTCTACGTTCCGCGAGTGCCGCGAATTTCGTTCAGATCGGCTCGGGATCCGTGGATCCTGTCAACGGATTCACCATGCGAACTTCGGGCTATTGGCTATTACTGTTCATGAGCATATTCTGCGTGTATTACTTGTGGAAGACCGGTTCAATCAGCCGCTGGAGCTCCAGCATGCGTGCCAAGGCGTTGATCCACTTCGATCTGTCGATCCCGTCATCGTCGTCATCGTCATTGTCATCGTCGTCGCCGCGCCGACGACAACACCGCAACACCCTGTCGAAATACATGCTGCAGGTGTATTACCGGCGCCCAGACACGGACATCATCAAGGCGATTCAACCGGCGTACATCTCCGGCCCGCTGAGCGACAGCGGCAGGATCGTGAAGTTCACCATTCCGTCGGTCAACAGCGATCAGAGCCTCGAGACCGCGGAGCTGCTGGGGGTAGCCGGCGCGTTAATCCGAGTGCGCTCGTTCGACGCGATGACGAGAAACATTAACGCGCCGGAGATCCTGGAGTCGCGAAAGGACGACGCTTGGCGCGCTTTTAACGTCACATCCGCCGTCACCAGAAGGAGCAGCGACACCGTCCAGTTCTACGTGTACGGCAGGTTCACCTACCGTCCTTACATCGACGGCCCGATCCTGCTGTTGAACTACAGCAAGACCGGCCAAGCTCATCGCCAGCGGCGATCCGTGCGAGTGGAGAAGCGGGATCAAGAGGACGAGCGGCGGCCGAAGGGCAGCCTCCCCCGCAGACGACGTCGGGACTCCTGCCGTCGGCATCCTCTCTACGTGGACTTCGCGCTGATCGCCTACGACCGCTGGGTGGTTGCGCCGTCGGGCTATGAGGCTTACCAGTGCACCGGCAAATGCTTCCTCCCGTTCGCCGATCACCTCAGCCCCACTCAGCACGCGATCGTGCAGACTCTGATGCACGGAGCTCTTCAGCACCAAGCCAACGGGGACTTGGACAGCAACAAGGTCGTCGGCCGAGCCTGCTGCGTGCCGACCCGACTGGCGCCTACGAGTTTGCTTTATATGAACGATGATGCAGTGATTTATGAGTATGACTACGAGGACATGGTCGTTGACGAGTGCGGTTGCCGTTAGAGTACTTTAGATATTATGTCGAGTGAAATCTCGCTCAAAGCGCGTGAAGAACGGCCAGTAGTTTCGCTACTGATTGTCGGGGTGATAGTAAGAACACTGAAATTGTTCGAAATCGCAAGAACGTCACTCTTTCACTCAAATTCAGGATAGATCTTTACTTCATATAAGCGAACGTTTCATTCGATTAAAATAGGTAAATTTCTGTTAACGGTGAACCACATCAAGTTCACTGCTCAATTTCAATTCATTCCGATGATTCAGAGCGGTGAATTCTATGTGAGTGAAACATCACTCGAGAATTCGAGAAATTCAATGATTACTCCACTTTTCGAACGAAATTTCACTCTGAGAAATTTGGGAGGGTAGATAAGAGGTAACACGTCATGTCCAACGAATGCCAGAACATAGAATTTACATCTTCTTATCGTGATTTACTTTCTTCTTATCGTGATGAAATCACGCTTGGCATGTTGACGTCGCGATCATACGTGGAGGTGTGAGAGAAACTTACGTTAGATTTAAAATAGAAAATATTAATACACCTGGATATCGATACAACGTGTCGCGTAGGACACGATAGGGAGAACATTCTTCTTTTCATAATTGAGATGCGAAGTATTATTAATTAAATCATCATCGAGTTGTCGCAGAAAGTCGAATTCATAGCAGCGTGGAGTTTTAGTTGATTGAAATAATCGACGAATCGATTATCAAAATTAACCAATCGTCATATGTGCAATCGCGAATAATTTTATCGATTGCTAAAATTAACTATTGATCAATGAATTAAGCCAAAGTTTGATTAATTCTTCACTAATCGATTCAATTGCTCAATCACATACATGACGTTTATTAATTCTGATTATTGATTCCATAATTACTTTAGTCGACTACACTTTCGATCGATTAATGTCCAACACTGGTTTGTAATAATCAAAGTCAAAAACGATCTCTCGCCAAGAGAAATCACGAGAAAAACGTTAAAAGAAATATTGTCACAAATGTTTAAGATTCCCTCCCCCCATCTACCGAGTCTATTAAAATTAATTGTCCAAGTTTATTCCAGCCGATGATGTCTCACATCAAACGAACAAAAATCGAAGATAAAGTTTCTTAGTTGTAACGCACGTTAAATCGTACATTACGGTGACCTGTGAGGCCTCTGCTTAACCCAGAAAAGAATTAGATAAGAACATTCCCCGGAATGTTAACTAACTCCTTCACGAATGTACCCGAGCGAAGTTCACTGTAGCAAGATCCAAGTGTATCCTCAGATATTGTTTTATACATCTGCATAACACAAACACAAACGTTGTCGCATCATCATGCTCGTCCTTGCACTCTCGAGGGTCCGCGATAGTGCGCGCGTAAAAAAAAAAGAAAATAAAACAAACGACGGAAAAAATAAAGTCTCGACCACAATGACCGTCCTATCGACAGAAAGAGTCATCACTGGGATACGCGCCCTTACGGCGCGCGTTAACTGAACGTCTTCGCGCACATTTCGTTGTTCTTCCGGTTGAGCAGGTAAGATCTGCCGGGCGAGTGGCTCCTCAACCGACGCGTTTTCCTTAGCCGGTGCCGGCTGCCAGGTATTCGCTCGATTTTGTACACCTGGTGCTTCACGGTGTTCGCCGGCTGGCTGAGTCGCATGCACAGAGCCACTTGGCTGTAGAAGTCCACGTCAGTGGACAGTTCGAGTTTCGGCTCCATCGTTACGGAGAACTCCGCCTTGCTCTGGACGAAGCTGGAGCGCACCCTGCTGCCGCCGTGGACCATCACACCCGCGCCCATCTCCACCAGGGAGTGCGCGTTCCTCGACCACAGACTCAGCTGGATCTGGCCGGCCAAGTCGAAGCTCACGGCACCCTCCACGTCGATCTCGGCGACGAAACCGGACGCTAATGGCACGTGCTCGCTGTAGCTGTACAACGAGCTGAGAACTTGAAAGGCGGGAGTCCTCTCGGACGCCGTTCCCGACCACACGTGGCTCATCAGTTCGCCCTGGCCCGAGAAGAAGACGAACGGACGCACGCCGACGCCCAATATGTCTATCTCCATCCCGGCGGTGGCCACCTCGTCGTCCACCTCTGCTCCCTCTTCTTGACTCGAGACAAAACTGCCGAGACCACCGGCGAACAGCCCTAATGAGAACATCGCTTGTTCGTGCCTGTTGGTCTCCAGCACGACGTCCACGATCCCGCGCTTCAACAGGCCGGAGTTCACCTCCTGCACGGTCAGCAGGGAGCCGTTGCTGTCGGGCGAGCGCAGGAAGCTTCTGGTGAAGGCAGTACTGAGGCCTCTCTGCGCCCGCGTGTGATAATTATTCACTCTCACACCGCTATTTACATATATGTTCTTCAGATAGCCGGCGAATCGCTCGTTCTTCTCGGCGATTTGCGTCATTCGTTGACTCAGATATTTGTACACCTCGTACGCCGGGTCCCTCCCGCCCAGGTAATGCACGAGGTCGCGTAGGACCTCCTCGGAGGGTTCGCTCTCGAGGATAATGTCCAACGCGAGTGTTCGCGCGCTGCTGTCCCTCCGCGGGCCCCCGATCTGGTAAAACATTCTCAGAGCGGCGTTCTTCAGCTCATCACTTACGCTTTGTCGAGGGAGAGCCGCCAAAGCGCGCCACGCGGCGACGCTGATCGCGCGATTGTCGCTAAACGCGTACTCAAGTAACGTGGGAGTCGCGTCCGGGCTCTTCAGGTTGCGCAACGCCCGCAGAAATTTCAGCTTGCACTCGTCGCCGGTGCACACACTCAGGCCGAGTTCCAGGCTGACTCTCGCCTTCTCGATCGCCGAGACCGAGCCGTGGTGTCGCATCATCGCGCCAGCCGCGAGCGCGTACGTCTCGGACACGTGGTCGTTTTGCATCGTCTCCTCGGAGCGCTTCAGCACGTCGTTGGCGACGTCGATGTGCGGCGTTGGTGACAAAGACAAGGCCCACAGGTACCTCTCGGTCTCGTCGCCGGTCTCATCCTGCCGTAGGATCTTCATGGCCGCCTTGTGAGCGGCCGTTGTCGAGGCGGAACCGTAAATGTCCAACAATTGCATCCTGGTTTGTCGGTAGCGTGGTGTCTTCAGGATCTTGTGCAGCTCCTCGGGCGAGGCGTTCTTGACTAGAGGTAAAAGCTTGAGGAAAGCCGACGCGGACTTCGCCGTGCCGAGCGCGCCGGCACTCAACGCTTGCTGGTGTTTCTCAATCGTTTGGTCGATCTGCAATATGTTGTTGATTTCTCAGTCAAGCGAGAGTGTGTAAACGTACCCGACAAAGTATTTTTACCAAAAATATCGACGCCATCTTATAAAACTTTCCTTCAAGTTAAGTGAGAATATTCATGAAAATGAAATAAAGTGAAAGAATAAAATAAAATGAAAAAAAATGAAATAAAGCGAGAAATCGCGACAATATTTACAAAAAATCCCGAAGAAAACCCGAAGCTTGTTTTATGAAATCAACTTTAATCAAATGTCAGTTGAACGTAATATTACAATAAAATATCTCGTGTAGGATAGAGAATCAATGGAAATTAATATATTAAATAGGAACAGACTAATATATCTATCAATCATTTACGTTGGAAATTTCAGAGATGTCATTGAAACTTTTAGATATTGCGCCTATAGAAAAAATCAATTTAAATCAATATACTAAATACAAACAGACTGATCTATCAGTCATTTACGTTGAAAGTTTCAGGGGTGTAATTGAAACTTTTCGAGTTTCTCTTACGTCTGTATGTCAGAGCGACAACGTCAGAAAATATACTCACGCTCTTTCTATCTACCGTCTGATATGGTACAAAACAAGATAGGCATAAATGTTAAGCTACAGAAATTCCTACCGTAGGGCACCCGGCATCGGGACACGTAACGGGCTCCAGTTGGAGATCGATATCTGTCTCCCTGTATCCCGGCTGAAGGAGCGCTATAGCGTGCTTCACGGCGTCCGCTTGGACCGGGTTCACGCTGAGAAGCTGCGGCAGCTGCTCCAGCGTCCTCTCCGACAGCACGGTCGTGCCGACATCCGACTTGGATGTCAAGGTCATCCTGTGCGCCTCATGCTCGACCACGCGCTCGGGCAGCAGCGAGTGCGTCAACATGTACGTGGCGTTGCGAGTGCTCGCGAAGCTCACGCCGAACACCGGATTTGGGTGCATCTTGCGTCGCGGCAAGCTGCTCTGCACGCAGCCGGTCTTCTGCTTCTGGATGGACTGCGGCCCCAAGGACACATAGGTGACGTTGCAGAGGCCGGACGCGTCCCGCTGCCGGATCTGCTCGTCGTCGAGCGTGCGGTACTGGAAGAGACTGGCCAAGCCGCGCTTCAGGTTCGCGGAAGACACGCTCTCAGCCGCGTCCATGTACACGGCTTGGATGTCCCCGTGCCGCCAGACCACGAGGAACGGCTTCTCGGCGCTCTCGTCTACCTTGGACGAGTGCTCGACGAAGCCCTCCGGCTCTGGAGCACGGCGAGATTTGATCCACAGCTGCGGTGATGATAGCTGCAAGAACGTCTGCGCGTTAGAACTCGCCAGTTTTTGCGTTTGTTTTTAACACATGTATGATTGATGAACGTTATCGTTGGTTTCCCTTCTTAATGTCTTGAAGCGAGACCAATTAACGCGAAGCTCGTTACTAATATAGACACTACTCGAGTCTCTTTCTTTCAAGGAATGGACGAAAATTTGAAAAATTTTTTATCACTCTAGATAAGGGATTATCGTCGCCATATGTTGATTCTTTTCTTAGTATATTGAAATGTATAAGACTAGTTAACACGAAGTTAATAGTTTATTAACTGGCTCTACTTGTGAGAGCCTCTGTCTTCCGGAAGATGTGACATTCGAGAGATTTCTTATCGCTGTCGGATATAGGGTTATTATCATCATACATTGGTTTCATTTTTAATATATCGAAGTAAGATTAGTTTATCGACGGGCTCTGCTTGCCATTTTCTCCGAAGGATATGCAATCCGAGAGATTTTTTTATCGCTCTCGGATACGGGGTTATCACCGCTATGCGGATCCAGTACGACCTGCCTTTTCGTATCAATGCGCTTGCTCAACCGTATTTTCGGGTTTTCGTCTACGTTTTAGCTTTTCTATTTCTAGCGTAGACAGTTTTTTATAGCAAACATGTTGTTTAATATAACAAATCACGAATCTACTGTTTGCACTGTGTCTTTGATACGAACTGCTCGCATAGAATCGTGAGATTATTCGAGCAAGAGAGACTTTAAAAACTTTATGCCTATATAGAACGTAGATATGCTACGCTGCGATAAACTTCACGAGAGAGATAAACGTAATGAATTATATGAAGTCGCGAAGACATATTTATAAATTTGTCAAGCGAGACAATTATTACATTATAAGCGTAAGACAATTAAGTATTACATTATAAGCGTGAACGCAAAAATAAATTTTACACATCATAATCCCTCTCAAGTGTAAATTCACACGCGATCATAAATCTTTTTATCGACTAGTACAAGGTAGCTCTTTGCATAATAGCGGTGTCGTGCGTAATCTTAATTAGGCAAATATCTTATGTTTGCATATTCATATATTTTATGCAAAAATTCTTAAAATATACAGCGAAGCAGTCACATAAAAAACAAAACCTCATATAAAAGACAATGATATCAAGTAAAAGTTATTGTTTTAAAATTGAACAATTGGATAAACACGTGCAAACAATACATTCAATGTTCAATCCTGACTTAACTGATACTTTGGTAATTATTCAAGTTAAGGGGCACATTTTCGATGACCTTGATCACCTTCACATATGTCATTAGGGACATGACTCTGAGTGTCTTTCGAAAGGTCTCACTCTTGATGACATACGAAGGCCAAAGTCATCGGAGCCGCTTTTGATGAAAATGATGACCAATAATTAACCCTTTGTCCTTTCTTCTGTAATCAGGGCTGAAATGAATCGAAGAGTGACTCGAACTACGATCAACCGATGAAACCGGCGCAGAATCTAGTCAAGAGACTCGAGAACGTTCAGGACGTCTCAATCGCAGCTGATAACGTCGAATCTCACAGTCATACCTTGAACTTGAGCAGGAAGACATCAGGATCGCCAGGATCCCGCCACGCAGCGGTGACGTCCAGCTCGCCAGTCAGCCTGAAGCCGACGTCGCCTCCGGATTTCGGCGGTATCGCTTCCCTGAAGAGAAGCGTGGTCGTCAGTCTATACCTGTGTCCGCTTCCTGCCTCCCAGCCTCTGATGGCACCGGCCACCGCTGCAAGCATCACGCATAACATCCAGTACGCGTTGATCATCGTAGGAAATCGTCGGGAAATTTGTCGAGCAACTATATACATCGGCAGACGGCCGACTAATTACGCGCGAACACGAGCAATAATCGCGTCTACGTGAGTGCGTGAACGCTCGACGTAACCGATCGCGAGTCACGCGTCGACTGACAAGCACTCTCCACGCAGCGAGCGAACAAGATCGTTCCTTCTCGCAGGGGAGGACGACAGACCTGAGACGGGACCCCAACGCAGCGGGAACACGCCGGATACGTGCGTGTGTGCGTGTGAGCGCGTGTTACGCGCCGCAACGGAATACCGTTAACTCACGTGGAGTCCCTGTTACACGACGGAGCGCCGAGGATCCGAGACAAAAACGGACTCTTGCGAGTGAGACCTTTTTTCTTTTCTTCTAGTCAGCTCGATCAAGCCGGTCTTGGTATGTCAAGTGACTTAATTATTTTCAATCAGTTTTTTTCAGAGGTGTCTTTTGCTTTGCGAATTGTACATCTACACTTAGTTGCAAAACGATTTAGATACGATAAAGTTGGTATCTCGCCAAGCTGTCAAAACTGAAAATCATTATCGACAGGCTTGCTCAGTAATTATATTAATTATTATTATTAGTATTATTTATTATCGTTTATTATTGTTAGTTATATTATTACTGCGTATAAACCCGTCGATAATGACTCGCAGTTTTGACGGTTTGTTGAGCTTCCGACTTCATTGTGTCTTATGCAGTCATTTGCATAAAGGTTGCGACACTTCTTACACAAGTTTATACAATACAGTGATATTTACACTTCTGCATATAAATCACATTTGTTCACTCGGCATTTAAAAAGTTGACAGCTTACAAACTTTTATGCAATCTGATCTTTATGCAAATGTCTGCGATGAGATTAATTTTATCATAGTATTGCGATACTCTCCTTCGTGGAATTTTGATAGGACGTGAAGACGGTCGCGCTTCGGCGAATAATTACCTGGTGCCATTTGACAGTAGGAATCTGAAATACAGAAAGACATAAATGCACACTTATTTTAATTAAGAATCGTCGGTGTATCACGAGAACGCGTTAATCAGCGACTCGCACGTTTGCCCATGAGACATGCGTGCCCGAAGCAATCTTCTTCGACGATTAACACGCACTTATGCGAAAACTCGCGTTTAACGCGCGGCGAAATTCCCGCGCGTTGCGCAGAAAGCGCCGCGATTCGATGCGCGCGCGAACGCGGTCGTGTTCCGCGCAAGTGCGAGGCGAGCGTCGCGCGCGATAATAAAAGAGCGCGACATTGCGTGCGTAATTACGAAATATTAAGAGCAGTAGCGTCATCGAATCGTCCGGCTCTAACGAACGTCACTCCCGAATTGTTCGCAGGGTTATGGAAGGATGCAGCCGTAATCGGGAGCGACGCGACGATCGACTGTGAGTCAACTGTTTAAGCAGCGCTAGGTTAGAATTGTCTGTAGGCGGCGTGTAACTTGCGATTTATCGAAAAACAATCAAGGTATGTGTCTGCTCGGTATCATTTGTATTTTTTGCATGCTAGAGAAATTTTTTGCATGCTCAAGTCAGAATTAGAACACTGTCCGCTATTTGTAAGGAGGAATGAGTGAGTGAGAGAAAAGTTGACGCGTGTCTCGTCATTTCAGTCTTGCACAGCTTCTCTCTCTTACTTCTCTCTATTACTTTAGATTAAATTATCTAGAGTTTCTCTCTCACTTCCATTCACGTTCTCCTTCCTAACACGGCGGGCAAGATACAGGATAATCAGGAATCATCATACTGTATCTTAACTCTGACTGAAGGAAGTCTATTATAGTCAATTGCGAACTGCCATCTTGTGCGTGTAGTTTTGTTTACGCTATGTATTTAATTATTTGCCATAATTGACGAATATATCAGCTCGATGAAGTAAATGTTGTGTAACTGCCCAAATAATACGCGCGATGAGAACTTTGCTTAAATTGTAATTGCAATTTAAAGAATACTTGCATAAATAATGCGAATATTCCTGCGCCAACGATCAAGTATACGCTATTCGAGATTGAGAAATTGAGCCTTTCAGATCCTTTGAAGTTAAGAAATCGATTGTTTCGGTATATCGAGGCATCACTGGGTTTCAAAACAATTTAAACAAAAAGGAATATGGCCTGGTACCTTTGTACAGTGTTGGGCATTAATTAATTAAAATCATATTATTCAATTTTTGATAAAATAATCGATAAGTCAATAATCAAAATTAGCCAATCATCACATATAAAATCTCAAATAATTTCAAACTTTGATGTGATTAATTAATAATTAATTTCATCAAACGACTAAATTACACGTGATTACATATCTGACGATTGATTAATTTTTGTTACTGACTAACCAATTATTTTGGTCCGAGAAAATCTTAATCGATTAATATCCAACACTGTCTCACTAGAGCGTAATGTATCCCTTATGGAAAACTCTAAACTGACACTATGAGTTAAGGCTATTATGTCTATCTGTATACAAATACCACGTTACAAGATCCATTTCCACCGGAAACGAATCCTTGCGCACACAGACACGTGTGTTTCCACGTGTCTATTTTTAACTAGATCTATTTTTAACTAGTGATCGTGTAAAAGTCGCGTCTCTCTTTATCGTATTGAAACAGCGTCAACAGTGCATGTAACATGTACGTTTCGCACGTCGTATGCAACGCGATCGTTCCGCGCCTCGCCTTCCCCCTCTCTCTTTCTATCTGTCTATCTATCTATTTCTGTTTCTCTTCCTCTTTCTCTTCCTCTGGCACAGTCCTTGTTGGAATGATCGAGACACTTTGCACAGCCGCGTCTGATTGTTTTGACCTTCGATTTAAATCAGAAACGGAGCGACCATTCCGGTCACGCGGCCAGCCAGCTACGCTCCAAATCACGACGACCGGTTCAACGGAGCGGCGTGCGCTCTTTCAATGGAATCGTCGCGTTACCGTCGGCTCATATGAATGACTCCCGGGTCGGTCGGGTAACGTGACCTCCGTGAGGAACAAGTGGAAACCCGCAGCGGAGCGAAGAGGCTGGAAGGGGCACGGTGTAGCGAGAAGAAGAAGAAGAGGTGGAAGGACGACGATGATGACGACAACAAGAGAGAAAGAAAGAAAGAGAAAGAGAGAGACTAAAGCAGGGGCTCCAACATAACTGGTGGATAACTCACCGAGGAAGGTCAGAAGATAGACGAGGCAGACCGTGAATTTCCTGACCGACCCGCCGTCCCGACTACGACCGGCCATCCTTTCCTCGCTCCTACCGTCGTCCGCGAACTGCACGTCGTAGTCGCGTCAGTCCCGTTCCCGATCGCTCTTCTCTCCCTCTGCGGATAAACACGAATAATTAGACGAGACCGGCTTGCGTTATCGTGGTAGGCTGAGGTCTCCCTTCCCTCCCCTACCGCCAGTTGCCGATGAACCCATTCCCCTACCGGGACTACTAGCGGGTTCTTTTACTCTTCGTTCCCCACGTGACTCTTGGATCAAGGGAAGAGAAGAGGTAGCTAGCAGTATCGGCTGTATGTACTCGACACTGATACCGGACACTCGAATAGGCAGAGGCACTCCGCGTCGTCAACGACTGCTCTTACGGCTCATGTAAATCGCATATATATGTGTGTGTGTGTGTGTGTGTGTGTGTGTGTGTGTGTGTGTGTGTGTCTGTGTGTGTCTGTGTGAGTCACACTGGGCAACCGTGTAACACCGCGATCGCTCGGCAGCACATTTCATAATCGCGGCAGTAATTTTTTCATAACTGTCAGAGAGAGAGACGCGCGACGGAGACACTGAGAAAAGAGAGCTTCTCCACAAGTGCCGGAAACCGGCTAATTTGCCCGATCCGGACTGGCGATTACGCGCGCACTGCACGAGAGAGGTTCGTGTCACCCGCGCGCGCTTTTCTCTGACATGGAGTCGCTTTTCTTTCTCTGAAACACGGTCAAGTTAATAGGTCCCTCTTTTTCTGCTCACCCACGCATTTATCATGGTCAGTCTCGTTTGAGTTGGTGTGTGTTAAATAGAGAACGATCCCAGTGTCGTTTTTTAAGAGAATGTCAGACTTGAAAGCTTTACCAACAAGACATCGACTTTCTTCTACAAAGTTTACATCGTATTGGTTGCATCGCACAAGATTTCGTCTGCTTTTACACGATGAAAGTTCGTATAAAAATAGAACATTGGACAAAAACGATAAAAAACTCCAAAATTGATATTTTAGCTGTCATAGTTAGTGTTAATATTTACCTGATACAAAAATTCTATATCGAATCTCTGTTCCACTCAAAAAAACGTCCAAGAACATTGCTGTATCTTTATAAATTCAGAAGCTTAACGCTTCTGGATACTCGCCGTGGAACTTTGGATTGATGACGTCAGAAACGAGAAAGCATGTCCGATTTTTGCGCGCCATTTCCAAACAAAAAGATATTTGCATGAAAGAACACTTCCGATTGCTTGAGCATACTTGTAAAAATATTCCGAAAACATTATCTCTTTCCTTTAACAGTCAAAAAGTAGCTGTAAAATTGATGTGACATGTAACCTCTTCCTCTGTAATCTACTTTTCCTTGATCTTGCCACGTTTTTTTATGACCATTTATTAACTATCAAAGAAAAGCAGCATTTTACAAGTATACTCAAGCAATCTCAAACGTTCATTAAAAAATGTATGTTTCAAATTCTTTCATAAAAATATCTTTTTACTCGGAAATGGCACGCAGTGCAAGAGTTTTCAGCACGTCATTTCTCGCTTCCGACGTCACAATCCAACATGACCGCGGCGGGTACCCAGAAAAATCTGAAACATATACGACAACTTTGCAGAAATTCTCAGACACATGCATGGTTGAGTTCTCCGCGAAATATGGTCAAACAGAGCAGCTTAGACTCAAATAAACTTTATATAATATGTAGAGCAAAACCACACAATCATTGGTATCCCCTTTAGTCATTGGTATTCTGCAAAAACTTGATTCTTCATGCTCCATCGTTGCAATTACGCTTCTTACCTGTATTCTAAGAGATTTCAAGAGAGATCTTCACAACTGAAACAGTGAGTAGATGCAGCTGATCGCAAGAAAAATCAGGTATTTCTAGAGTGTCAACGACTAAAGGAGATGCCAACAACTGTGTGGTTTACAAGAAATACAAAAGGAGTAGCACGATCGTCTCATTGCTTATCGTGACATTTTAATGTTTGTCTCTACGTTATCGACTTTTTTTTTCATGGTCAAGTTTATAAGTCCATCCTTTTCCGTTTACCCACGCATAGTTAGGTTTGAGTTAGTGTGAGTTAGATAGAGAACGATTCCAGGTTCGCTTTTTAAGAGAATGTCAGATTTGAAAACTTTACCAACAAGACATGGACTTTTATCTACAAAGTTTACATCGTATTGGTTGCATTGCATAAGGTTTCGTCTGCTTTTACACGATGAAATATAAAAATAGAACTTTGAACGAAAACAATAAAAAACTCCAAAATTGATATTTTAGCTGTCACAGTTAGTGTTAATATTTTTTTAGCATCCTCTTAAATAGTGCAGATTTTTACTCAGTTTTATCGGTGTAAACAAGAGAGAGGGAAGTATTTGAGTGAATTTAATTCCGATCGGTCTTAACTGTTGAACTATCGAAAGTGGGTTTACTTTTCCGAAATGATACAAAATGAAATTTCAAAATTTAATTGGATACAACAAATTTCGTTCAATTTCTAGTACAGGACACGTATTAGGGAACTTTTCGGAATCGACTTCGATCGGACTAATCCCGTTATTCCGCAGATTTTTATTGTCTTTTCTAAGGAAAACAGTATTTATTCCGGCCGGAATCGATTCCGAAATGTTTCATAATACGTGCCTGGGAAAGTTCATTTTGCGTCGATGCGGGATCCGTAAGAGAGTAGCAATGCGTCGATAAGGTGGAGGCAACTACACAAACGTACTCACACACGCACGACAGCAGTAGGTGTAGATCCGTTTTTCGGCCGTATCAACTGTTCGATGATACAGTTAGGTGGTATTTTCCCAGTTTAGCGAGCACTGAAAACGGGTCGAGAAAATTCTGATCCGCCGAGCGCGCTTCCCTCGATAGCGAAGGGAGTCACTAGACCAGAAGTCGAATCGCTCGACAAAATGGCACGCACGCGAACGAGATAACACGTGTCGTAGATTTGCGAGGAGACCGTTCGTCTGTCCGTCCGTCCGTCCGTTTCTCCGTTCTTCCGTTGGTTCGTCCGTGAGGCCAGTCACAACTACGTCAAACGGGACCACCTCCAAAGCAAACAGTAGAACGCCCCTAAAAGCATCCTTATCAATTAGCCTGACCTATGAACTCGGGATAACGCCGACCGACACTGTCATTCAGCTGATCTCTCCTCCGTTCGTGAATTCGCATTCGCGCAATTCGATATCACCGGCTGCGTAATATCAATTATCTCTGAGCCTGATCGCCGTCCTCGTTCAGTTTCCGTCCGTTTACGGAATCGATGACCTTAGAACGAAAAAAGATGACGAGCACGCCGCGATAAACTTCGCAATTGAACGTGGTTTTGACGTCATATTTATTTAACTTTACAGTATCATATTTATTTTCTTCTTACAGCTATTCCGGTGTTATTTATAATTTTATTATCGAAGTTATTGCGGACTCACTTACGGGTATTGATTTTCGGAACTTCGGTCTTCTCGCGTTTTCAATAAGCGTTCTTGTCTTATCCGGATGTTATTGATCACAAATATGCCGCATGCTTCGAGTTTTGAAAAAAAGCAAGGATCTCCGGTTTATCCGGTTTGAAACGATCAGGCATTCGACGCCTGCGTCGATATACAGAGCGTCTACTTTATCGCGTTCTTGTCGAGATGGCGCAGCGATCCAGTTCCTGAAGGAATGCCTGGCACACTGTTTCTGCAAAAAGAGCTTCTCTCAGACATTCCTGATAATATACGGTCTAAAATTAGTTCAGTTTATTGCGCGACGAATTTCGCGAGGTTGAATTCCCATTTTGAACTGAAGACAATTCATACACACGGAAGATGACGCTAACTGGCGTCGGAGTTGCGAGTCATCGTCGCGAATCGATAAAGTAACGTTTGTCGGCAACCAAAAGTGTCTACGTGACAATTTCATTTATGTTAATTTTATATTTTTCAACCGTATTCACATCATTCAAATCACCAGCAACGTATCCGGCACTGTCCAAGATTTGCCAACGAAGTAGGTAACTCTTTGGCGAATAATTAATTCGAAACCTAAATTTTTCTCTCGCTAATTCCAAAGAAACTTTTGCCAAATTGTTATGTGCGGAGAAAACTTCGCTTACTTGAAAACGCGAGAATTTTACCCGAAGCCACAAATTGTCGGAAAACTCGCGTAACATTATTTAGTGATTTTCGGCCGGAGCGAAAGCTTGCAGAAACGGTTACCGACGCAAACTCGATAGAGAGCTTATTAACGAAATAACTTTTAAGCAGCAGTATGCAAAATTCACCATCTAAAATCTGGGCCACGTAAGATACGGCTTCTTGAAGCGCCTCCATTGTAACGATCGTTTGCAGACCGACCGAGCGCGATTAAGAATTAAAACTGCGCCAGTTCTAGATTTCACTCAGTCATTGTAATTTTGTCGTAAACAATTTTCCGAGCCCTACGCGCACGCCATTAACCCATTTATTATTACATGCTATTATTCGCGCATAAATAAATAAATCGACTAATTAGATACTGAAATATACATACGTGCGCCAAGAGAGGTAATATTGATAGCGTCAGATAATCAGATCCCTCCTCCTGCTCTTCCTCCTCCGCGTGCCATGTTTCTAGAGCCGACAAATGAGATCCTCCAAGAACGTCAGAATACAGAGTGAAAACGTAAAAAAGTGACAAAAGAACGTCGTGATGAAATCCCGCGCGACATTCTCCGCGCGTTTATACAGGTCGCTTCAGGAGGAAACATCGATGCGCCGCAGCGGCAATAGAATGCATCTCATTATTCCTGATGCATGCATCGAGCTGCGAATTAAGGTCAAAGATGAAGCGTGTTTACGTATGCAAGACTCCGTACAATGTTAATCTCATTGAAGTGGAAATGATAGAGAGAATGAAGTTTCCCTTAATCTTGACTAAAAGTGTTGTAACAAACCTACTTTCTTCTAAAAAAAAAGGTAAAAAACAACAAGTATAACTGCAGCTCTATTAACATGATTGTTTTTTAAATTCATTATGTGTATTTGTTATGTATATATGAATATGTGTATATGAATGTTCATTTGCTCTTGCAAGAGGAAAATGCAAGCTGAAAGAGGGGAAAGTGTTATGCGTTCCTCTACGACCACGGCCACGTCCTCGACCTCTTTTATTATAATTTCTTTGTCCGCGTCTCCATTTTGGCGGTTCTGCAATAAAGATTCAGATACATGTAACATAACGAAAAAACAAAAAAAATATTGCTATTTTTTATTTATTTATATATATAATTTATTTATTTATATATATATTTATTCTTAGCTGATATGATTTTTCTTTTAAAGATGGTTCTTCCTGGCTTGACGATTGTGTTGACGGTTGCATTATTCACAGTTGATGCGACTTCTATCGCGTAATTATTTTTCAGAAAATCGTTATTTCCCGAAGAATTTTTCTTCTTTAATTCTTCTTCCAACACGTTTTTATTCTTTTTACTATCTTCGAATCTTTCGTTTAACGAAAGAGGAAAAGTGTTATTTATTTTGATAAACGTGTATTGAATAACCGCAACTATAACGTGAGATGCGTCTTATTTCCGCATTGCTGCTAAAAATTTCGATAATCTTAAAGCACTAAATGTTATAAATGACCAATTATTGCATAAAATAATATAGGCGGACAAAAAATGTAATCTCATTTTCAGTGGAATCCTCTTACAGATGATAGATAATAAATAGGTCTCTTATAGATGAGGCCTCAGAAGGATTCGGCTAGAACTGAAAAGAAAATATTCCAAAATCCAAAAAAAAAAAACTCCTAGAGATGCCATCTTCTGTAACCTCATATTTAAACGAAAACTTTTGTCGAAGGAGTATTTCTTTCCTAATATTTAGAATATTTTCCTTTTAGCTTTAGAAAAATTCTCTTAACACATCCAGAGTCAAAACTTTAGCTCTATTTTAAACCTGAACATTCATACACACATCTATATATTCTGTATATTCTGAAAGATCTGTGTGTTCTGAAAAAAGCATCTGTGTGTTACACATGGAAATTGAAATCTTAGCGTCTCTAAATGGCAGAAAACACACAAAATGCCACTTGCAGGTTTTAAAGAGGACCTCTCGGCAAAGCTAGTAATGGTAGATTAAACAGAATCAAAAGAGGTCGATATAAGCTTCAGAGTATATCAAAATAAAGACGTTAAATGTAATGAGATCGAAAGTGGGATCAAAATTTCGACCCAGGTATTTATAAGAATATTCCACTGGGGATAAGAATATAATTTTTCGGCTGGATGAACAAGATATAAGATGAGAAGGGAAAACTGAAAATTACATCTCGCGAACTCTGGGCAGCGACTGAGCTGATCGCGTGTAGCAACTCGGATTTCTTTCGCTTTCCGTTATCCCGTGCTCGCCCTCTGCGTATAGGGTCAAAGCACGAATCATTGCGTCGCATCGCCGCTTCACATACGATGCCTCGATCGACCGTGCCTCCTGTGAAACATCCTGTGCGAAGCCGCGGAAGTAGCTGGTTCGGAAGCCGCAACGAACGAACGAACGAACGAACGGGCGAATGAGCGAGCGCGCGAGCGCGCTAAATAATCATAACTCAGAGAGACATTTGTAACGCCAGCCTCTCGCTCGTATTTATCGCTGTTGTTGGACGGTTTGTTGCAGCAATAACGGTAATGGGCCTCCCCCGCCTCTCGCTCGCCCCCCTTCCCCCTCTCTCCTGCCCCGGTCCTCCTTCCTACCCCTGCATCCACGTCCTCTCTCCCTCGTCCGCTCCCCTCCTCCCCCCCCCCC